CAGATTCATGGCGTTCCTCCTCCTCCCCCTCCTCCTCCTTCTCCTCCTCCTCCTCCTCCTCCTTCCTCCTCCCTCCTCGGATTCATCGGATTCATCGGATTCGCCCTCTGCCCCTCCTCCTCCTTCCTTCTCCTCCTCCTCCTCCTTTGCCCCTCCCCTCTCCTGCCCCCCCTCCAACTCCGACCAGCTTCACCTCCTGCCCTCCCGTCCCCACCCTTCTCCAGCTCCAGCCCCCCTGGGCCCCTGGGGCTGGGGCCCCCCTGCCTCTTCCCGAGCGCCCGCCGAGGCGATCGCCGCGATCGCGGCGACGGCGGCGACGGCGCTGAGCAGGCCACGGCTGCGCGCGGCTGCGGCCGTCGCGCAGCGCGCGCATCGGTGCGACTGCCGCGCGGTCGCCCGCCGGGGCGGCAGCCGCAGCAGCAGCAGCAGCAGCGACAGCAGCAGCAGCGGCGGCGGCCGCAGCGCCCGCGGCTGAACATCGCGGGCCTCCGGGTGGTGTGCGACAACATGTTCAAGCGGATGAAGTGCTGGATGGCTCGGGTGTCTGGGGGGGGGGGGGGGGGGGGGCTCGAGCGCCCCCCCTCCTTTTCTCTTCCTTTTCAGCCTTTTCCCCGGTCTTCCTCCTCCCCTCCTGTTCCTCGGCGTGCTCCCCCCTCCTCCTCCTCCTCCTCCTCCTCCTCCTCCTCCTCCTCCGCCTCCTCCCATCCCGGGGTCCCATCTCTACCTTGCTACTCCACCCATGCTCCTGCCCCTGGCCCCCCTTCCCGCCCGACCGCCCGCCGCCCGCTTGTCCTCGTCGTCGCCCCCCGGCATTGGCGGGATAGGGCTATGGCACGGGCCAGGGAACGGCGGAGGAAGGCAGTGGAGGAGGAGGAGGGAGGAGGAGGAGGATGAGGAGGAAGAGGAGAGGAGGAGGAGGGAGGAGGAGCACGCGCCGCAGGCACGGGGCGCAGAGCAGAGGCTCAAGGACCTGGAGGCGGCAGAGCGGCTGACGGATTTCAAACGCACTACCACGCGTGCCAAGCGGCGGCGGGTGGGCGCGACATGGCAGTGGCTATCAGTTATCGGTGGCTACCGCTTGGCCCTCAAGAAGTGCATGGGCCATGGTAGCGTCGTGTCGCTGTTGCGACAGTTCGAGGTCGAGGCGAGCCGCCAGACCGTGTGCCGCTGGGAGGTGATGGCTGGCGCGTCGCTCCAGCTCCATGTGAGGGGGTGGTTTGATCGCCAGCATGAGTACATGCGCAAGCGGCACGCGCTGGCGCGCTGGTGCTTGCGACCTGACGGCGACGGCATAGGCCCCGACCGCCGGCGGCGATTGTTCTCTTATGAAATCGTATCGGTTCGCGCCGACCGACACGGGCGATAGGCCGGGGTGCAAGGCGCACGCGTGCGAGGTGTCGGCGATGTTCTCCGACATTCCAGATGGCGACATGCTCGACCTGCTCGGGGGGCGTTGCTTTGCGGGCGCGGCCCTGGCCGCGTGGGGCGGCGAATCTGAGTTGGTCGAGCCGCCGCCTGGCGACCGCCTCACCGTGTACTCGGACCTGATGCAGGTGCCCGAGAATTGCACTGGCGAGGATTCTTACGCCATGGTCAAGAAGCAAGTCGCGAGCATGGGTGCCAGGAGCTGGGACCAGGCGGTCTGTGGATGCTGATGATGACGAGGAAGTGGGGAGGAGGAGCAGGGGGGGGGATGGGAGGAGTGGCCCCCGTCGCTGCCCCTTGGTGCCGCCGGGAGGCGAGCCTCGTGGAGAACGACGACGCGCTCCGCCACATCCAGGTGTGGTTCTCGGGAGCGACCAGGGCCCAGACCAGACGGGGGCCGACAGAATTCTGGACGCCGTGCTTGCCGACAAGAAGTGGGTGCTCATGTTTCGACAATGGTGTCTGCAGCATTGCATGCACCTGATGGAGCTCGTTTTTGTTTTTTTCCTTCGGGGACGGGCGCGGGGGGCGTGGCGGCGACGGCGGCGACGACGTCGACAGCTGCCGACTAAAACTGAACCGATCTTCAGACTGGCAGACAGCTCGTGGAGATCGATCGGTGGTTCAAGCGAGGCTACTTCGGACGATTGGGGACTCTGGTCAACGTGTGGAGAGCCGACGGCAGGAATATCAAACAGACGTGGGCCGCGGAGACGTCACAGGCCCGCGCGATGCAAGTGTGTCGCATGTTACCGCCCCGCCCCCTCAAGGGCCGATGGAATGCTGTGTCCAGTACGGAGAAGTACATGTTTTTCGCTCAGCCTTACGAGATCCGCCAGGTGTTCACTGCGCACCTGCGACCAGCGGCTGTCGCCAAGGCCAAGGCGGCGGCCAAGGCCAAGGCCAAGGCCGCGGCCCGTGGTCGAGGCCGCGGTCGAGGTCGCGGGCGGCTCATACTTCCAGAGGGTGGGCTTGATGAGAGCATGTGCTCGGACAGGCTGTCCAAGTGGAAGGCGGACGTGCTGCTGACCGTCAACGACGACGCCTTCTGGCTCACGATGTTCATCGCCCATCGGACACGGGCGCCAGCCGAACACCTCAGTCGGTGGCTCCAGTCCGCGAGCACCATCGACTCGCGCCCAAGGTCCGTCGACTTCGTCTGCGCCATGGCGCGGACCTTTGCGGCAGAGTGGGTTGATCTATTGGCGGAGCACAACGGCGCCAAGCACTGGGACCCCGTCCGGCGCATCGATGATGACGACGAGCAGGCGACGTGGAGGTCCAGGGCCGTGCACATCGCTCTTTGCATGGCCGCGGACTACCACCGGAGGGTGATGGTGCGGATTGCCGCGCTGCCCTTGAGGATTGTCGCTCTTGTGTTCGCCCGCCCGCTGGAGCAATGCGATGATAGACGAGTTCTGGCAAGTGCATTGCTCGAAGCAGCGGCTGCTTACCCAGGGGCCGTCGGTGGCCTGCAGTGCGACTTGACCGCCAAGAAGTTTGTAGATATCTTCGCTGAGGAGCTGGCCTGGTGTCGCGACGAGGGCCGAGGCGCGCTGGACCAGCGCCTCTGGGCGCTCGTGGATGCCATCGCGCGCGAGTGGAGGCTGGACACACAAGAGATCGAGGGCGTCAACAGCATTATCAAGACGGTGTGGAAGCGCTCTCCTGCGATTGCATGGCCGCTACTGTCTGCCAGAATGGCGATGCGCAAGTTCTTGGAGCGGATAGGCAACGACAAGCAGTCCCGGGGCGCCTTCTTAGAGCGCTGCGTTTACCACCACAAGGCCATGGGAACAAATGGTGGCGGAGGGGGGGTCCGGGAGGGGGAGGTGGATGATTGGGGGGAGGCAGAGGCTGGACAAGGAGGCGGAGTAGGGAGGCATGCGAGGAGTAGGTGGGGGGGAGGACGCGGCGAGATAGAACCCCCCACCCCACCACTTTCCTCGGCCCCCCTGCCTTCCCCACCCGCCACCGGCGGCCTCTTCTGATCATTGACTCATTGACAATATTGATCTCCCCGCCACGTCCCCCGCCCCTTAGCCCGATGCCCCGACCCCCCCCCCATTCAACATTCCTTCCTCCCCGCGCCCGCGCCAGGCCGCTCAGATATTGGCTTCAACTTCGACGAGCTCCCGATTTGCAGCCAAGGTGGGCCCGGATGACCTCGCTGCGCCCCCAGTGCCTCGGCCAGCGACGACGGCCCACGACAAGTGCGTGGCGAAGCTCTGCTTGAGGAGACCTCGGACGGCAGAAGAAGCGGCGGGGGTGGATGAGTTGATGGGGGATGGGTCCGGGCGAGCGGGATAAGGGGACCCCAGGGGACCGGAGGGCGAGGGGAAGAGGAGGGGCGGGAGGAGGGGGCGGGGGGATAGGAGAGGGACATGGATAGAGGAGGGGGAGGAGGAGGAGGCATAGAGGGGGGGGGGGGGGCATCCCAGGGGAAGGTGGGGGGGTGGCGAGGGGAGTTGCAGGAGGATGGGGGGGGGGGGGTGGATCGGGGAGGGTGAGGAGAGCGAAGGAGCTGGAGATGGAGGAGATGGAGGAGGTCAGTGGCGAAGGTGAGGGGAGGGGCGATCTGCAGGGGGAGGCGAGCGCGGGGTGCCGGGGTGAATCAGGAGGAGGATGAGGAGGATGAGAAGGAGGAGGCTTAGGGAGGAGGATGTCTTTTCTCAATTTCAATCTCCACTCCTACAGGATGCAGCATGTCGCTCAACATTTCTGGCAGGAGCGCATCTTGCCGTCGGCCACGCGCGTTTGGCGCATATCAACAGTTGTCGGTGGCGCCCCGAAGCCTGTGGGCACTTTAGCCAGTGCGTCGCGTATCTGGATTCCTGCTTGCACATTTTATTCACAGCTGTGGTCGGCGAGCACTGAGAGCTCTGACGACGGCCACATCAAGCTCGTCGCGCCGCTGACCTTCGACGCGCTGTACAAGGTTATGCACGTGCATCACGCTGCGTACGCTCGTCCAGCTGATGACGATGACATCGTGGACTCGCTTCTGAAATTGGCCGTTCTCAAATGGGACCGCGGGTGCATGGACAGGGGCGTCGATCGTCGACGAGATCTACTGCTTCTCGATATCTAATGTCTGCCGGTGCCGCAAGGGCCACGGTGACGGTCCCGACGGTGACGGCGATGGCGGCGACGATCGCGATCAGGGTGGCCCCGGCGACGCAGACGAGGACGTGGGCGACGACGCCGAAGCCGATGCCTTCCTGGATGTGGAACGCGACGACGGCGTCCTCGATGACGAGGAGTACGCGCCCGACGGAGGCGCGGGCGAGGCCGATGCCGACGCGCGCGACGTCGCAGACGTCGCTGGCGCTGCTGCTCTTCTTCTGGCAGTTCCAGAGCAGGCGCGCGACGATGCCCTGGCGCTCGCAGCAGAGCTCGCCGAGTCGGGCGGGGGGCAGTGAGCAGTAATGCCCGCCCGACCCCGGCGCCCGACTTGCATTTCGCCCCAGCCCCTGCGTCGCATGCCAGACATAGTGCGGGGAGGGGGCGAAGAGAAGCGCGGGGGGTGGCCGGGGGCGGGGCGCTCATTTCTGCCCCGACCAGGACCCGACCAGAGATCTTGACGAGCACGTCATCGACGTGATCTTGGGCATGGGCGCGGACGACGTCAAGACAGAGCCGAATGATGAGCTGGGTGAGTCTCATGTGCCCGATGATGACGGCATGGCCCACCCTGTCGACGTTCGCCCTGCTGCTGATCCTGACGAGGAGTTCGTCAGTGCCTATGCTGAGGCTTGGTGTGCAGCCGTCGAGCCGACCGTGGCGGCCTTGGTGTTCGTTCAGAGGCCTATCTGCTCGGAGGTAAGGGTGAATCACTTATCGCTGCTGCAGGATATCAACGCAGAAAATAAGACGGCGGGCCCGCTGCGGTTCTTTCACTGGGACGTTCCCAACGACTCGGGCCGCTGGATTGTCATGGACGGGAAGTACATCGTTTACTCACCGGCTGGCCCGAAGGATCCGAACACAGGCATTCCCATCTTCAGGGTCTGCGTCAAAGACGCCCTCGAGGACGGGAGCATGCGCATACTCCTCCCGAACTGCATCGACCAGATGCGACGGTTCACAGGGGACATGCGCAGCGCGATGAATGACGAGGTGGCTGGATTCAAAATGCAAGGGGGTGGGGGCTGGAGGGGGGCGAGGGGTGGGCCGCGGCAGACCTGGGACGAGATGCTGGCGGGGTACGCGGAGGCGGTCCACGACCGCGGCATCTCGAATGGGGAGCCCCTCAGTGGCTTGGCCGTCTTGACAATGTTCGAGACGGACATGCGGCCATCGGAGGTGCTGGCCCTGCGGGCCCGCCAGGTTGTTCTGCCACTGCCAGAAGAAGGAGGCGCCTCAGTGTTTCTGACGTTTGTGGTCCGAGCTTCAGAGCATCAGATTTCGACCAAGACGAACGAGTACGACCTCTCGGTGCCGCTGGACTTGCAGCGGCAACAATGGCTGGTAGAGGCGATTTTCTTCGTCCAACGGGCCGTTCCTTGGCCTCAGCTACACCAAGCTGGCCGCAGACTTCAACAGTGCGATCTCAGCTCTGGGTGTGACCGTACTCAAGCCCACCCTCTACTCTCTCCGGCATGGAGGGGTCAGCCACGACAGGAGCACGGGCGCCAGAAGCTTGGGCGCCGTGCTGCAGCGCGGAGGATGGAAGACGTTCAAGTCAGTGCTCAAGTACGAGGAGCACAAACGCCTGTTGATGGAGCTTCGCAAGTTGTCCGACCATCTCCGCGATGCGCTGCAAGCCGCAGGACTGGATCACATCGGCGTCTGCAACAGGTCCTGTGCGCGGCACATCGCAGCGCGCCGCATCAGTCCCGAGTTTGCGTGGAGGTCTTCTCGGGCTGTGGTGAGTTGAGCAAACACTTGCGTCTTAGAGGGGAGGCGGTGGTGGACTGGGATGTGCGACAGGGCGATCATTTTGATTTAGCTCACCCTGCTGTCTGGAGGACCCCCAGAGGCTGGATCTCTTCGGGCCTTGTCAAACTCGTGTTTTTGGGGATGCCCTGTAGCGGGTACTCCAGGGCTCGCAGGGCTCCGCTGCCTAGTAACATGCCTTCGGCTCTCAGGAGCCCCGAGTTTCCTTTTGGGCTTCCTGACCTCGAGGGTAAAGACCTTGTGAGCCTTCGAGTCTCCAACAAGTTCGGGTGGGTCTCACAACGCATCCAGAGACTTTGTTTCAAGATGAATGTGCCAGGCGGTGAAGAGAATCCTTGGCAAAGCTTCCTATGGCTTCGCCCTGGCCGCCTAGCATTTGCCCGCCTCCCGCAAGTTTGTGATAGAGTTGTGGATTACTGTGATTGCGGGCGCCCGCTCCGTGCCCGCACTCGCATTCGATTTTCGAGATGTGTTCCTCGCCCTGGGCTCGAGAAGCTCGTTTGTAAGGGCAAGGGAATCTGTTCTTTTTTTCCAAGAAGCCTCATCTGGAGCTGACCTGGTTTTCCGGACGGCGGGTTCAGCACCAAATTTAAGAATGCCTACCCGCCTGAGCTGTGCGCTCTCCTTGCAGAAACGTTGCATTCCTCTTGCGTTGCACAGCAATCCACTGAAAGATGGAAGCGTATGCGGGGTTACCCCAGCACAATGCTTGAGTAGTGGGCCTATGGTTTGAAGTTTGGCATTTTGTATCGCAGTTCGTGCCAAGCTGTCAAGCGTGCCTGCGTACTGTTCTAAACCTCAAGCAGCTTCCGCCACTGGCAAAATAGAAGATCATGTAAGTGATTCGCGTGAATGATCTGCCGTGTGTGCCGCTGCCTTCTCTCAAGGCACCTCGCTCGGCCCACGCCAGCCCAAGGCTTCTCCTTGTTCGGTGCCGGCAGCATTTTGTATCGCAGTTTGTGCCGAGCTGTCAAGCGTGCCTGCGTGCTGTTCTAAACCTCAAACAGCCTCCGCCACTGGCAAAATAGAAGATCATATCAATGATTTTGACCTCTTGAGGCTTTGCTGGGAAGGCTCTTAGAGTTTTTTTTTGGGCGTCTCGTCTGCTTCTGGGGCCATTGTATAGCCGCCTTGAGCGTCTTGGACCGATCGTGTAGCGATTCTGACCACCCTTGGCCCGTCTAGGCGGGCTGTTGGAGGTCATTTGGCCCGTCTTGGGTCCCTTGTGGCCCCGAGATATTCATGCGCCTCGGGAGGTCCCAGTAGAAACGCGCCGAACCCGAGGAGGTTTTCAGAGTTTTGGGTCTTGGCCCTTCACAGACTCCTCAGGAGTGAGGAATGAGGCGCAGGGCATAGAGCAAGGGACCTGAGGACACTCCAACTCGTGCCCGAGGCCACGGTGGCAGATATAAGGAGGATTTATGTTCGGTGTGTTTTGCGCGGGATCTTGTACCAGTACATGGCAGCGCCTTGCTATTGTCGGGCGGGTGTTTAGTTGTCAGGCCGTTTTGGTCGACATGGGCAGCGTATCGCTTGGGAACGCCATGCTCGCTTATGCATTTTGTTTGCGGAAGCTGGTGCGCGATAGTTTTGTCCTTTCCGAAGCATCGCGAGCAGCGCCACGCGTGCGGGGCAATAACAACATTTCATTGGAATCGTGACCAGACTGTGATGTACGGGGAACGAAAGACAACTTGTGTCTTCTGTGAGCGTTTGTGTGTAGGTTCCCGCGTTGTGTGGGCATGCGTTAATAGGATTGCGCCATTGCTGCCGTGTAGCTCGCGTCGTAGACCACTCGCGTCGCATGCTTACTTTTAGTTTAGGTTTCTAGTCCTGACAAGCACAGCAGAACGCGTAAGTTCGCCAGTGCATGTACCCACGTCCCACGACACCACGGCGATGGCAATTTGAGCTTGCGCGTCGCTCACCTCGTCGACCACTCGGTGCTGCACCAGTGCGGTGGAGAATGAGGAAACATTTGGCATCCAAGTCCCGCGCTCGGCTGGGACGGCCGGGCGTGCTGGCATCGCGTTGCGCTGGCCGCGGCGGAAAGGTAGCAGGAGGAAGGCCCGAGGGCAATGTGTTTTTGTGATGAGTGCAGATGGTGCCGCCTACGAGGGGCTTGCTTGAAGGAAGGCGGGCAACAAACCAATGGGCCCTGACCCCGTGCGTGGCAAGTGCTAACGAGCAGGTCCGGGGCTCTCGCCTGTCGTCCCGTGCGTGGCTTCGCCTGTAGGCGGGGGGGGGGGGGGGGGGGGGGGGGGGGGAGGGAGGGGGGGGAGGAGGAGGAGGGCGGAGGAGGAGGAGGCGGAGGAGAGGAGGAGGAGGAGGCGTTGATTCAGCTTTTCTCTTGCAGGCCCAGGCTGGTTCCAGAGTTGTCTCTGCCACCTCGGCGGGCCCGTGGCTCGTGGTGGTGCGCGCTGGCTGCCGGTTGCCCCGGGGTGGTTGCTCGTGGAGGCTGCGCGCGCCGCTGGGTAGCAGGACGCCCTGTGTGTTGGCAGGGCAGCGACACGGCAAAGCGTTGTTGTGGCGAGTGAGCCTCTTTACCGGGCTTTGTCGACCATCGGGTGGTGTCGGGCATTCGTTTTGAAGAGACAGGGCCTCGC